TGTATGAGTCGGGTGTCTAGACTCCGATGACTCTCCAGGGTCCGTACTGAAATGGCCTAGGTCGGTGTATGTTAGTTGTATTTGTATAAGTATACATATGTTTCTATAATATGTAGTCAATTAATGTTTGTAATGTAACGCATAATAATAACACGTCCTATCGTGTCTATAATGCACTATAATAATAGTATTTATATTAGGTACCTGATATATATTATTATGCACTGACACAATTTTCACGCTATATGACGTATCTATGACGTTTCTGATGTATTACCGATTTAAATTATGTTTTATAATATTAAGATTATCGTCCGTACAGCAAAATACAACATTACCGATGACACGTATTTCTGTTCTCGGCTGTTTTAAACCATCTATTCATAAAAAGTGCTGAATATATCTTTATTATATACTATAACTACCCAAATATCACATTAAACATTTAAAAAGTTTCTATAGATTTTTACACAGACTAATTAATCAAACGTTGATAAATTTGCTAACTTTTTTATTATCAATTATCTTGCGCTTATACAATAAGACTAATGAAACTTATTTATAATAAAAAATACATTAATATTAAAATATTAACAAAAAACCGGGAAAGGCGTTCTACTATTATAGGTAGATAATAAATATAATAGGATTCAAGTGTACCTTGCCAATCAGTGATATCTATGAAATGGATATCAATAAATAGTTTAATAAAAAATGATTCTATGGATGAATGGAAAGTATCAACGACAATTTTCATAAAATATATATTATAATGTATTGCTATAACTAAGTTTTCGTAATTTATTGTTTTATTGAGGGTACTTACGACGTATGTTGAACTATATTTTTCTAAAAAAAACGCACATATAATTGTTATTAACTCATAAATAAGTAAAGTCAAACCGTATTATTTATTATTTTCATGCTTTGGCTATTAAAAATTTCGTTGAACTTAAAATGATTATACAAAAATATATGTCAATATTATTTCATTTATACAATTACAGTTTATTTCGATTAAAAGTAAAATAGAGGGGAGACATTTTAGTTTACACCCATCAAATTAAATATTAAATACATCTATTTTTCTATCAGAAATTACCCTCAAAGTTGAAGCATGTTTATTAGGTACTCAAAAAGGTGATGATAGATACAAAAACTATGAAAAAATTCCCTTACTCCACTAAGAATATGAAACAATAATTTAATTTTTCAAATATATTATTGAAATAACTAGCGGTGTTAAAAATTATATAGTTTTCTCTGGGTGTATTTCTAAAAAGTATTTCGTAAACTAAATGACAACGATAATTTTAAATGATTTTTGACATTAATATATTAGATTTCTTAAGTTACTTTAATACTTGGCTCTTAAGGAAACCATAATTGGCTATTCAATTTGGCATTTTAGAGAGTTATTTATATAATTTTATAAAATTATAACATTGATTTACCTCGCACAATAATGCGTATCCTTTTCTAAAATGTTTAATTTTAGAAAAAAAAATAATAGTTTGGATACGTTATAAAAGAATTTTGATTAAACTTCATTCAGTATTACTGTTATATTTTCTCTGAGTGCAAAATACTTTGAGTTTAATATTAATAATAACTAAGTCACATGGTTTAACAAAAGGATTTTTATTGAGAGAAAATATTTTTATTATTTTTTTTTTTTTTGTTTATACCAACGATAAAATATACGAACTCAAAATCATATAATTTTTGGTGAAAATTTCTGTATAAAAAATGTTAGGCAGTAACTAAGTCATCATAAAAAAAAATAAAAATAGTTTATTATATTACAATTACAACATATACCACTCCGCAGGAGATCATGCATAGTGATTTATAAAGTGTTAACTTCCGTGTGAAAATCGTAACTCTATGGCTGTATATAGCAACAGAAAATAGTTGTTCACAATACAAAACGGCTTATATCGTTTGAATTTATCGCAGGTATTTGAAGTATGGCACGGCCGAACGCATTACGTACAGCAAATAACACACGATCTATAAACGTTATGTATATAGATATATTTTATATATTTTTAACCAGAAACATGTGATAGAAAATCGTAAGAGATTTTTTATTATTATTAATAATATTGTCGTTTTTCGTAAGGTATGGCAGACCCTGTACGCAATTTTATAAGACAAATATAACTCTTTAAAGTGGACGATAACATTAAAGATATTTTTTTTGTTCTTCGAAATTCTTTACGTGTTTACTGTTTAAACTACAATAACAATATTTTATGTGTACTTTTTTTCAATAATGACACTTTACGGAAAACCGTGCGAGGAAGATTAGTGTATTTACGATTTATATATATAGTATCACACTATCTCATAATATAATGTTATAATGTAAAAGAAAATTTAGTTTCTAATTTCTCAAATTCATATTTTATTGTAAAATATTCAATATTACAGTTAAAAACCAATAATAAATAACTAATATGTACATAATATTGAAATTTTTGGGCGTAGGACAATATTTAGGTAAGACGGTAATGAATGTAAAATGTATCCGAGACACGAACATGTTCAATGACGCTCGATAATTTCATAAATAATAAAACAAAATTATAAATAAAATACACTTACTAGTGTCCGTTACGGAAATCACAAGATTTGCATGATGGAATATAAGCAAGGAGTATACAACGTATAAGTTACAGCTATTTGTATCAACGATTGGTTTACCTTAATAAAAATAAAAAATGTTTGAAATAACGTGTTATTTACATGCTCGCACGTGTGAATCGTCAATCGGCATGTTTCTATGTAGGCATCTAAATATTAATACGTGAATAATAGACATTAACAGAGATCAAAAATTGTGTCAAATAAATCGTACAAAGATGAATGCAGGAAAAATTAATTATTATGTTAAAATTTTCAACGAAGGTTCTAGTTTATGTATTAAAATGTGATTCCTTTTAACGCAATTTTAGTCACAATTCATAAAAACATGTCACGTTTTAAACCATGACGTTTAGTAACTCGTGCAAACGTTAAATTTCATTTCAAACTCTGTAAGACTGTCACAAAAATGTATGAAATGCTTTTAACTGCTAACGGATAACGTATTGTAATCAAATAAATAAATACATTTATTGCTTCGCTGTAGCTTATAATAAATATATGGATTTTAGGAGGTACTAATAATTGTTTTTTGTTACCAATCATTTAATAAAATATAAGAAAAAAAAATGATAATTTTATAGAGTCATTATTTTAATTGGAATATTTAAATCGGCGTACTGTAATGTATCAACTAGTTTTCTAAGAATATTAGTGTAAAAAACAGTTTATTAAAAATGTTAATACTTAATTATCCCTTATATATTATTAAATTATATTATTTCTTATATGCTTAATACATTTCTTTGATTTGATCGCACGATTAATGCGCCAACAGTTTTTAAAACTAAAATACCTATATTGTTTTAATATAAAGAAAACTTTTACGGTTTTTATTGATTTTATCTGTGAGATTTTTTTACTGTGCTCTAATAATTAATTTCACATTATAATGGAAAATATATTAGTTTTTGTTATGCTTTTAAATTTAAGAAATTAACTTCACTTTTAAAATTTTCATTATTCTAAAATTAAACATAAAAATAAAAAACATAGCATACTGATTATAAATACATCAATTTTTGATAGAGTTTAATTATTTTTTTGTTAATTACAACAAATTATAAATTGTTCTTATCAAGATTCGATGGAAAAATATTAAAATATTAATTAATATAATTTTATAATATTTATATTTATATATGTATACAAAGAAATGTTTAGTCTACTTAATAGTATTTTTTTTAAATTTGTTTTTAATATGTAGTTAAGCACTATAGTACAATACTGAGCTCAATGAAATAATAATATTATTAAAAATATTGAATTTAATTAATTAATTTGAAAAATAAAATATTTTCAAGATAAATGTAGGGTAAAAAATAAGTGATAAAAATGTATATAATTAAAAAATATCAAGTCTTAGAACTCATTAAAAAAAAATACATTTTCATTATTAATATTATTGTGAAATATAAATAATTTTATAATACTTTACAGTATTAAAATATTAAATTAATGTTGTTCTATTAATAACGTATATACTATATAATATACATTATACATTTATTTGAGTCATACTGCTAAAAAAATTATATTACTGTATATTATTTTGTATGGAAAATATATCACCATAAATGAATGCAATAACAATATAACTGGAGCTTAAACAATTATAATTTAAACTGATGCTTTAGGTATGTTAATTTCACACACTAAATAAAATTGAATTACGTCTACAGCTATTATTAATTTTAAACATCTTATATATGTATAGCAGAACATGTACCACAAAGCAAAGTTTTATATCATCCGAAAACTTAAATAACAATTTAAATAACGTAAAATTTTAGATGAAATTGTAAACTACATTACACCTATACAATATATTTTGATGTTTCGATTACTTACTAAAAAAAGCTCAACCACTTAAATTGTTTTTATTTCCCTGGTGTAATAAAAGTTTCGCCATAGTTTTGTTTTTACTCAAGCAGTTTATACAATAAACATTTTAAAAATTAACTAAAGGTTAAATTTTTGTCAGGTATTATATTCTATATCATAATAATACGTATATAAATACATTCATTCCACAAAATTAAGTAAATACAAAATAAAATAATAAAAAAAGTTTACTGGATTTTCAATAGAAACTTCAAAAAAGAAATCACAATGTATCAAAATTGAACCCAAACTTTATTTTTTTTTATGATCCTTAGAACCTTTTAAAAATGAAAAATTTGTCCTCTTAACTTAAAATAAATTTGTATTCATTTTTATTAGTTTTATCGAGAAAGACAGATCACTCGAGTGATTCATTGATAACGAATACGTTGTATACTAGATACGTAAACAAAAAAATATTATAAAGCGCGTTAATGTAAAATATATGTAAAAAAAAAACAACTCACCTTAAATGATGCTTCCTCACTTAACACACTTCCTTGAGACTCTTCTAAGGCGTGATCGCAACAACGGGCTAGGACGAAATCAATCAGATGACGATGTTTGACATCGAATTAAAACGCACTATTGTTCTTACTGTATTAAACCTATATAATATTTGATCGTATTACCGCGAACTTATGTGTATGCTGTTTCTCAAACGGTTCAGTATTTGCGCAATACCCTACACCTTCGCGTCAAAACACCCTAACGGCCACTGATTTTAAAATGCCCGTAGCGAGCACACACATCGCATAACCAAATTCAAGCATGCGCATCGACACCGGACTCGCGGCGTCATATTATAATAAATACGAGAATAACGCAAACGACTATGCATTGCGGTAGTACAAGACGTGAGAGTTCATAACGAAAATCTAAAATTCATGAAAACATGATGTAGTTCACTATACAGGTTAACTATTAATTAATATAGTGTGTAATAATTATTATGCATATACACACCACGATACAATGGCGCGCATTGTTAAAAATCGAAAAGATTGGTTAGATAATAATTTAATATTATTGATGTATTTTATTTTAAGGATATAGGCACGTGTTCTGTCTAACATGAAATCTAATACTGCAACACTCTTGATGTGGGGCATTATATTTCCAAGTATAGATACCTACACGTAGAAACATTTTAACGGTATGTGTACATTTTGGTTTCAGTTTGAGTTTTTGGAGGCTAAGTGTAATATGTTCACGAATTGTTATAATACACGCTTTGTATAAAAGATGAGCGTGGTCTCAAAGATAATTTTGAATTTTTATCAGAAAAAAATGGTTCTCGGGTGGTGCAGCTAAGCGAATATAACACTGTTCGTTTTTCGATGAATAATTCGTTTCTCTTTAGGTTTACGGTACGATTATAATGTAATAACACTGTAGCTTGTGTTTTAATAAAAAGTTGAAAATTAAAACGTATAGTTAAGAATATTAAGATATCATCTTGTTTAGGATTGCACACAAATTGAACATAAATTTGTGTTAAATGATAACTAAACGTATATACTTTAATTAAACTGTTTAAATTAACGATACATTAATAAAAGCGTCATAAAAGTGATGTTATGCAGACCACCAGCAAAAATTTTTACAAGAAAGCTTAAACAAATATCATTACAGTAAAGTTATTCATCATTTCGTTATTCGAACTTCGTTTAAACTCCTTTAAAAATAACATTCTAATCGTTATGGACCTATCTACCTTATGACTTGCGTTATTTTAATTCTATATGGCACTAACATCATAACACGATATTTTCACCATCCAAGGAACATTACAACAAAATCTGATTCGAATGCTTTCAACGGATTTTCCAAATCCCAAACGTTATAATACGTATTACTACTATTACTATGGATTCCGGAGTTTGTTAGACGTTGTTATCGATACATTTTGTATGCATAGAGAACATTACGTATTACGAACAATGTCAGTGTTTTATACGTTTTGTTCCATCATACTATTGCCACCATCACCGTGTATACGTACGCTGCATATATTTTGTAAAACCATAATGCACGCGTGAATAAGTTTGATTCGTACCGATGTGTTTTTTTTTCCAACAATAGATACTTTAATCTCGAGAGTCAGTAGCATTTCTTCGTACATTATCGATACGGTGCGTCTGTCGAAAACACAAAATCAGAGGCGTCGTTTTGATTTTTTTCTCGTGACAAAAAAATCGATATCCAATACACTCGCACGCTACAAATACTTACAATATAGAAAAGTATGCTCACATATGCGCGTGTATAACAATATTTAAGTGTATCCAAAATGTTGAACCATATCGTCGACACTTGAACAAACGGGAACAGTGAGAAAAATTACCAAAGTTTATTACAGCAGTCGTACTCACAGTATACGACATCAATTTGCGCTCACCACTTATCCTGTCTGTACCGATTAATTGTACTTTTTATTTTTGCTTTCGTCGTTATTATTGTTTATATGCTCGAAGAAGAATAATAATTTATTTGTCACTGGTTAAAAACATGATCGATAATATAACATCATAACTAGGGCAAAATTTACAATATATATATATATATATTATTGTTCAAAGTTACATTTTGAAAAGTTCTGAAATGTTCTGAAATGTTTTTTATACGTCAAATGCGTACGGAAAACTTATATTAAGTTAAATTTCTTATGTTATGATAGTACTGTATAGTTGGAACGTTAGGAAATAGAAGTATATTGATAAGTGAGGCGCTAATAAATTAGGGGAAGCGGTGTTGTTGATGTTGAGAGCACTCGTCGCAGCATCGAAGGTGAATTTTGATACAACGTCCCACTTCGCATGCAGTAAACACTGACAATGGAATGAGCATAATATTGCGTTTCTATGTTTGTTACTCTCTATCAGTCTTCGGCAATTATTGTTATAAATACTCATCTTTATTCTTTATTAAGAAAGTCTTGAAATATTTTTGTATACATTACTGAATGACTAATGGCTTACTTAAATTTGACTACCGAATGTAACCTAAAAATAATTTGTTAATCTTATAAAATATTTATTAATTAACTTTTTGGCCAATATTTACACTAAGTATTAAACAAAAAATTTAATTAGTATGCATATCATTACAGAATATATTTTTGATATACTATACCTCATTAAATATGTATTATTTAAAAATCGATATGTCATGTTTGATTAATTTTTGTTTTTGTTAATTTAATGAGTTGAGTTATTATAACAATTTTTAGTCGTGGTCGTATATATTTTAAAGTAAAATCAAGAAACTTGTAAACTCAAAACGGCTCGTATTTCGTGTGTTATCTGCTAGATCAAAATATACTATGCGAGCGTAGTACACTGTATCAATAGAAATTATCACTATACACAACACTCGAAGAATACAACTATTATAATGACTGGATATTGGATAATAATGAATTATTACCATAATTTTAATTATATTGTCATCGCTATTGTATAACGTTGAGATCCTGGTAATCACCCATAATTACTGCGTCCGCCGATTCGAACTCGAAAACGATGAAAGCTCGTCGATTATCGTAACTGAACACCTATAACTAAGAAAATATATATATATATATAATATATTTATATAAACGTAACTTGGAATGAAAAAGGTCTTTATAGATTTGTATAGGTTTAATCATATTATAAATATTATCATTATATATACTGTATAGTGTATAGTATTCGTGAAAAACGCAAAGGAAAAAAATTCAATATCCCATTCGAACTGCTCCCATCGTCCATGCCAACTGATAAAACGAGACGTTAATTTAAATGTCTATTTACGTTTCACAAAACACGGAACAAAAACAAACGACTATTAATTAATACACGTTAAACTTCTAGGTACGAAACTCGCGTTGTGAAGACCCGGTGCGCGCGGAATAATTATTGTAGTCAATTTACCGGTCCCGAAACGGAAAACTACCCTTATTTATTATTAGTTATTACTTGCGATATAATATAAATATTATGAATAACATTATAACCCTGCCGTAATTTTATATTAAATCAAGCATTATTGACGATCTGGAATACAATAAATATTTTTAATTTTGTATTTTAATTTATTTTCTACGAATTAATTTAACAGATTGTTTTTACTTCAAACAATTTCTTTATTTTCCTCATATACAATATATTAAATATCAATTCATCGTCTAATTATGAGCGTCTTTGAAATATGGATGAAGCTTTTACCCTAAAGCTATTACCCTGAACTCTGAAACTTTTTGAGAATGTCTTATTTTTATATTATTCAAATTTAATGTATATAGTATTGAATTATTTTTAATATCCTTAATTTTAATAAAATGATATATACATATTAATACATAAACAATAAACATCCTAATTACTAGTTATTTAAATTGTAACATTTTAATAAATTGTTATATAACTTTGTAATTTTATTATACCTACCTATGTGATTAAAAGTTGTTATCTAAAATCTCTTAAGTATTGCATATAACTAATGGACAATATATTTTATGGTTATTATTTAATATTTTAATTTTAAAACAGAAAACAGATGATAAATATTTTTAAAATAGAAATATAGTATATCGATAATTATATTCTATAGTAAGCATAACTGAGTTAGATTGATAATTCTGAGTATACAATTTTCTATCTTAAGCAATAGTTAGATGAATACGATAAATGTGGTTACGACAACATCTCAAAATATATTTATAAAAATACATTGTATAACAACAATAAGACAATAATATTCAAAGACTAAGTTTAAACTTTCAGTTTTCGTCTCTCTCCTACAAATGGGTTTAAAGTCGCCTCAAAATCTGTTAGTATTATAAGTAGAACTTTATAAAGTTCATTTGGTGTGTTATATTATGTAACAATCACTAGGAAATATAATATTATATCGTACAGAAATTTGTGATGATTGTACATAAGATATTTAAATTCAATTAACTACGAAACATATCATTATAATATCATATGAAATAATAGTTTAATTATATTTTACACATAATTATTGTACAAAAATGACATTTAAAATTCATTATATGCAAATAATATTAAAAAAAAAAAAAAACTAAGGACATGAATATAAAAAGCTTGCAATGCAAAAAACCCGTAAAGAAAGATTACTTCATAGAATTTCACCAGAACCGTGTAATGTCGTGGTTTGTGACATGAGGAGGATAAGTTTAAGTTTAATAATAAAAAGAAACTGAATCAGCATTTTATCTTTGAACCTTTCATTTTTCGTATACTGATAAATATACTATCTTGAAATGACGTCGAAGAAAACAATTTCTCTTAACTGAAACATATAAGAATAAAAACAAAAACTTTATATGGTCAAAAACAAAGTTGGTTAAACATTTAAAAGCCACTTTATTAGAAAAAATTTTAATTTTCTAATCGTTATTTATATTTATGTGTTATTTGAGTTATTCGGTAAATTATCTATTTTTTTTTCATGTTATTATAGAACTTTTATTAGTAATTAATTCATACTATTAGTATTTATGTTACAACTAAGCGATAAAACAATATTTATTTAATAATTACAAGAATGAAAAAAAAAATTTAAATTTAATAATAATAATAAAAATGATGAAAGGTACTTTAATAAAAAGTTATAAAATTACTAAATAAAAGTTTAAAATTACTATTTTAATCAAAATAGTAATTTATGGTGAAAAGCTAAACGAAAAATTA